ATTTATTTAAATGAAGGAATTTCTTGAAGTTTCCTGATTATTATTATGATAATAGGGATCATGAAGAAAAGAAAATGAGGAACAAATTTACTGAGAATTTTAAAGATCCGATTAAAGTTGCTGCTTGGAAGGAGGAGAATTGTGATAAGTGTATTGAGGGACATCCGAAATATTAAAAATAATTTTTTTTTTTGATACATACATGGTTATGTTTACGAGTCATGTGACAGCTAGAATGACCAACGAAGAACGTCAGAAATGATAAAATCGAAGAGATTTCGAGAAGAAACAGATTCAGTTTATCTCAAGAAGAGAAAATTGAAGGTAAAGACGCACAAAGTATTTGATGGAACGAACAGTCAGCGGAGGAAAATCAAAAATAAATAAAAAAAAATTAAAATGTGATGAAAGAAATGGTTAATTATATGAGGTGATTTTATCGTATTATTATTGTATGATGACTATTTACCGATATATCGGAATAAGGGGAAAGAAAAAGTCGTAGTTAAGATCTATTGTATTGATCTTTAAGAGAGAAAGCTTTTCATGAAAAAGAATTTTAAAAAATTTATTTGTATAAATTATATGATTTCGTATCGGATGGATAAAACCAGACCGTACCTATAATTTTTTAAGAGCCGTAATCTAATAGACCGAAAATTTTTACCACAAAAAACTACAACGCGTGGATAATCCTTCGGGTTTTAAAACCGGTCTTAAAACCGTCTTTTGGTCGGTGAAATCTTAAGCATGGCGTTTCTTTTTGAGAAATGATTTCATATTTTAACTAATAATGCTTTGCTTGAATTATTTACAAATTTTGATAAATTTCGTGAACTATTTTGATACCCTTTTATTTAAAAAATATTTTGAGAAAAGTAGTTGTATTGAATGATTAATTTGATCGATACAATATCACCGATAAAGATTCAAAGTTGGAGTAGTTATTTGGTTTAGATGCCAAAATTAAAAATGGTAAATCAAAAAAGTAAAAAAACTGCAAAGAGAGGGTTAAAAAAAGAGGTATTTTGAAAACTAATGAGATGAAAGAATTTTGAGTGGATATTAAAACTTTAGAGGATTTGTAAACACGAAATCTAAAACCAAATCAAGAATAGAATTTCTCAATGGTTTTCAGTGATGAGGAATGCAGACAAATGGTTTGAATAACCTTGATAAGGGGGTAATTTGAGTGCAACGAACAACGTTTCCTCGATAATTTTTAATTTATTTCGCATTTGAAAACAGTAACTAAATAAGTATGCATTTCAAAGTCACCAAAAAAAAAAAAAAATTTCAAATTTGAAATGCGGCCAGCTCATTTTTAAATTTGTAACATAACACGGGTTTAATTACAAATTCTTAAAATCCATTTATGAAATGGAAGTTTGAAATTCACTTTGTGAAACAACCAAAGAAAAAAATTTTTTCTTAGTACGAAAATAGTCAAAGGATTAAAATGATACGTGAAATAACTCCATAATAAATTACGGTCATAAAATTCGGACAACTCGAAAATTTACGAAAACATTTATTTAATTATTATTATTTTCTTTTAAATTATTATTGTTATTTTTTTTTTTTTTTTTTCAATTTCGTAAATATAAATAAAAACTAATGCGCACCGCGAGAAATATAACCATCAATCGGAAATAAAAATATTTAACAATTTTTCCTTCCAGAGAAAAAAAAAAAAAATAATTAATTTATTGGTTTGAGGTTTATAAAAAGGTTTTATGTATAATTAGTGTGATGTGTATTTGGATATATACAAGGTTCACTCGGTCTACAATTAATTGTATTTTAACAATCTAAGACAATTTCTATATATTGCTATATCTCGTTGTCAACTTCCTCGTTAACTTGTTCCTCGTTATCTACAATTTTTCGAGCCCAAAATCTAAATAATTTATAGTTGGTTTCAAATTTGGTAAATTCCAATTGACAATATTTCCATAGATCCAAATATTGATCCGCATTAATGCCAATATAATCTGGTAAAATATCTATGAAATTATTTTTAATGTACATTTCTAATAATTCTTCATATATGGTACCAAATTTGCCACCGAGTTGGCCAACTGGAATGTCTCGAACATCCGACTGGATTTCGGTTAATGACGGGATTGAGGCAAGTATGGTGGGAATTCGTTCCGTTATGTGTACGTTTACGCCGGTTGATTCTATGAATCCAAGGACTTTTTTGTGTAGAATTGAAAGAAATAAACCGATTAACAATTAATAAAGCAAAAGGATGAATCAATCAATCTATATATATATATACACTTACGTTTATCAGTTAAAAATTTAAAGTATGGGCCTTGGTTATATGCTTTTAAATCTTTTTCCACGATTTCCAAATAACCATTAGGTTTTAATACTCTAACAAATGAAAGGGGTTTGAGTCAATAAAGATCAAAAAGAAAAATACCCGTTCGTTGATATTTACCTAACTAACTCCCTTACGGCGTCATTCCATTGATCTTCCTTGAGGGAAGTAGCAATCAAACTCATCCTAACAAAGTCAAAATAATCGTCTTTAAAAGGTAAACCTTGATTTATATCGCATTTTTGGAAATCCAAATTCGTTGGTTTTATTTCTGATGGAAAGACTGTGACGATATCGACACCAAAGAATTTTACTGAAGGATGTAATGTGGACATTTCGAGAAGCCATGTTCCCGGTCCGCATCTGGATGGGGACAATTCTCGTTAATAAAAACGGGGAGAAATAAAATAGATCGAGTAAGAAAAGAAAGAGAAACTTTACCCAGCATCCAAAACTTTAAAGTCGCCCGATTTAAATTTATGTTCGATTGGAGAGGAATAATTACTTTGCCAAATGTGTTCAAATAGGAAGTGCTGTAATTGCATCCTATCGATGTCTTGATCATTCTTTGGTAAGTGAAATTCCAAGTTTCTCGATTCCTGACATTGTTCCGTTTCTACCGATAAATGTTGCTTATATTTTCGACTTTTTGATTTCATGCTTCGAGATGAATGATTATTACCCATTCTTGAAAAAGTTTTAATAAAATGAATGAATGATGAGATTTGAAATGAAAGTGAAAAAGTTTTTTTAATTAAAGAGAGAGATGGATGATAAAAAGGAATAAAGTAATGAATATTTTTCTTTGTAAAAATAGGAAAAAAAAAAAACCACAATGAGAACGAATTAATTTATTTATATACCTTAAAAAGAATATTGTCGAAAATTGAACAAAGTACACAAAATTTTTTTTATACAAAATAGGTTTTCAGAGATGTTGAGTAAAAAAAAAAAAAAGGGCGTTACATCTACTGTACATTAAAAATGGACATCCATTCATAACAAAGGAAGAATAGATTGATCTACAAAAATCTCAATCAAACTTTGAAAAAAAAACCAAAGGGTTAATGTGTAATTAAACAATTAACAGATTAAGTTACTAAAATAGAGAACTGAAAGCATAAAAGGGAAATGTTTTTTTTTTTTTTTTGAACACGGGAATAATCAATTAATGTAACAAGAAGATTTGGCGGCAAAAAGATTTGTGCAACCTTTTCAAAAAGCCCTTTTCAACATTTACAAGATAAAAAAAAAACAAATATTTGAGTTCCACTGACCACCCAATGGGTTTAGTTAAAGAAGGGGGGCGATTATTTATTTGCCCAATCTAAACTGCGATTGGTAAAACAAGAATGGGATTTTTAATATTTTTCTCGGAATTTTGTAGATCCATGTAAAATTATCTTTTACAACCATCGGATTCCCTAAATAATATATTTATTTTCGGAATTTTATAACCTAAAAAATTACAAATTTATATTTGTAAAGGGTCTCTGTGTTTAATTGTCAAATGAAACCTGTTTGAAATTAACAATGAACTTTATAAGTAACCTAAATAATGATGTTAATAGAATATAAACAATTCGCAAAGATCCTAAAATGATCCCTTCGGAATCGATAAGGCTCCTAAAATGACATCTTCAACACGGTAAATTTACTAACTAATTAACTTCAAATATAAATAAAGAAGCAATTCTCGACTGGATGATTCTTCCGTCACACTTCAGCGCTGCGCCATTTAAATCATTTAATTAATTTAAGCCAAAATCTTTTAGAGGATCCCTTGTCATTTTCTATGCATGTCATTAAACATTTGTTCTTTCTAGTAAAAAAAAAAAAAGCGTCGTGTAACGATTATAGGTCCTTTGCAATTTGGTCATGTCTTTTATACGACGACTTGTACAAGACGTCATTTTCATAATACTATTTTTAGGGTACAGGGATGATTGCTTGATGCTTTATGTAGTGATAGCTTAATGCATTATGCACCATCATTATCCAATAATGTATTTAAATGATGGATTGTCTCGAGTGAATAAACTTTGTTAGAATTGTTTTTGAATATTCTTCTCTTTTTAGACCATTATAACAAAAAAAAAAGGGGGGGAGGATTCTTTGTAACATTTATTTAATATTGTTGATTTATATATTATACTGCATTTTGTTATAAAAAAAAATCTATTACATAAAATAATCTTGATTTTTTATTCACTCGTACGTAATTTCTGTTTTCCATGAAATTGCTAATTTTACCTTTTCAAGTTATTTCGATTACGGTAAATGGAATAATGTTCCTCAATAAATGAAAAATCAAAGAAAAACACAATTGATGATTCAGTTGACACAATCGATTAATAAACTTGCCTTACTGCTGTTTACCATATTTCGCAAAGGATTATTTTAATTAAATCAAAAGAACAATGAGATTTATTTATTCAATCATAAATTATAAATTTTATTATTATTGATTTACTGTAATTCATTTAATAAAATTAAAATAAATTGGAAAGGGGGGAATTGACCCCCCTTTTTTTTATTTATGATTTGAACAAAAAAAAAAAAAAAAAGAGTTTATAAAGTTATACTGTATATACAAGGTTTGTGAAAAAATTGAAATGTTGAGGGAAAAAAAAAATTATTTCTTGTCAAAAAGTATCCACACAATAATTTTTTAATAAGGACAAGGTAATTCAAACATTTGACATAACTTTAACCGCATGAATTGAAAGGTGTAATTTTTATTCTTCCTTGAAGTTTCCGTGATACATTGACCACAAAAATTTCTTCCTTTACACCATCCGCATTTTATCCAAAATTCATCCCAATATTTATACCTTGCTTTACAATTCGCACATGACATTGTACAATATTCACATGTATCATATTGACAACTTTGAAATTGGAATACGCCATCCAATGATTGAATGGGAGTTGAATTTAGGATCAAATTGATCCTTGTTGACATGAAATCATCATTCAATTTCGACTTTGAATTCGAATCATGATATTGTAATTTACTCAAATCTTTAATAACTTTTTTAACGGTTAAGGAATGTCTTTTTCCACCGATGCATCTGGTCAGGTTAATCTTTTTTAACTCTTTCAAATCCGGAGAATTCCCTGATTTATCCTGATGCCATTGCACCATCGCGTTTGTCATTGGCAATAACATAACTTGCTTGCAAGATAGGATGCATAAATCTTGTAAATTCTTACAATGCTCCAATGCGGAAATAATCGCACGTTCGGTCACTTGTGATTGATCAAATGTTAAATTACGAATATTTTGAGTTTTATTCGTTGAAAGTAGGTAAGAGAATAGACTATCAAATTGTCGTTGAGTCAAGGAGGGAGGGAGAACTATTTTTGAGAACAAGAGTGAATCTGGTAATGCGGAATATAATTGACGACACGCGCCCCTTAAAGCGATAGTCGATGCAAAATCCAAATCCCTTTTGATCATGTAAAGAATATCATCCGGAAGGGATGGGAGGGTTGTCAACGTCCCAATACTATCTAAAGCGAGAGGTTTAATATGATTCAAAGATGAACTTGCATAATACATTATCCTAAATTTCACAAGAGAGAAGAGGAAAAGAGAAAAAAAGAAAGGATCGTAACCTTTTCGTGGAGAGAATATATATATATATATATATATAAAAGATATTTAGATGTAAAACCTTAAGGGTACAATACACGCGACAAAGAATACAAAAAAAAAAAGAAAAGAAAAGAGAGAAAAAAAAGGTTAATACTCAAAAAATAAGCATTTTTTGCAGATTTATATGTTTAGTTTCGAAATACTTTCTTTATATGCAACAAGTTGATTAGTATTGGTAAACTTTAGATTCGCCGATTAAAGCAAAAAATTAAAAGTTTTTTTTTTTTAAAAATGAGTAAATCAATCATTTATAAAGCGCCAATTAAATAGGGATGGATACGCAGGGTTCTAGAACCTATTGCATGTAATCATGAGCATCCTAATGCATCTTCTCATGTAAAACGGTCATAAATAAAATAAATATACAGTATCTTCATTTTTATACTATTATAGATAAATTAAGCCAAACTAGCATAAACAAGTATTTGTATAGGTCATATAGGTCAGATATCGGTCATTTGTTTATTTTTTTTTTTTTTTTTTGTTTCAGTTCGTTTTTTCAGTTCTTATTACGAGTCTTATCTCTTGGAGGGTTATTCCCGAAGATGATTGGTTCGTCGAAAAGATTTTCTGCTCATTACGTGATGATGTTTTACCAATGCTTGATTACTAAATTACTAAATGACCTAAAATGCATAGAAGATCTCTGCGTACAACAGTTCAACTGGAATTATTACATGCAATCAGTACAAAAGAAATTCAAGAAATCAAGAAAAGCTTCATATGAAATACCAATTTACGTGTAATAGTGGATTGAGATCCAACAAAATGTTTACCGTAAATTTTATTTGCTTTAATACATGATGGCATCGTAAATGTCATCAAAAGATATAAAAGTTATCTTCCTCTGCACGACCTTTTATGTTTAAGGTAAACATTCCGTCATTTGACCTTAGCGCCAAGCGGTGTCATGAACAGGCATGCAGGGATTGGACCTTTTAACGCGTATTACGTTCATAAACCCGCACACATAGATCAATGAACCAGTTTGGTAAATTATAATAAAATTTGATCAGTTGGTTAATTTCGCGATTAATAATATCTCGACACTTGTGAACTTGTTCATCACTTTCGTCTCGACGCGTAATATATAAACAAACCATCACACAACACTTTAACTTTATTTAGTAAATTCTTTTTTTTCCTTTTGGCATAATCGTTCGTATAAAGGTTCCATTTTGACCCTTGAAGTTTAAACGAGAGATTTTCCGGCGCAGTATCATCAATTTCTTATCACTTTCTATCATTTTTGTACGGAAATTTGCGGATCGCAATCTTCCCAAGTTGGGAAGTACTTTTATTCCAAGGTGTATAAAAAAAAAAAAAACCTCCGCGCAACTGAAAAATTTCATGTGCTAGTTTCAATAACCTGTTGGTACCACATTAATATTCATTCATCAATCACTAACGCTAAAGGTCACAATCAAATGATACGACATATTTTTTTTTTTAGCGCCTGAACTTTCTTTTGATTTTTGATTTGATTTTCTTATTATGTAAAGGACCTTTGATCTTTGTAAACAAAGAATCTTGGTAGAACCATGTTCAACATAATGATGATTAACAACAATCGTTAGAAACAAGCATGATTTTAGTCTCTTGTTCTCTTGCGAAGCCTAACGTAGACAAGCTTAAATGGTAAGCAAGGAATCCTTTTGATGTAACATCAGACACAAATAGCAATGAACACATTTTAAAGGATTCTCCGGGGATAAAAAAAAAAATCTGTAATAATATCTTTTGTTGTTGTAAATCATGTCGCACGAGTTGGTCGTAAACATATGTGTTCCCCAATTATCTTTGGCCATGCAAATTTTTCTGCATTTGATTTTACACCACATAGTAACCATGAGAGAATGATAAATTGGTGCTGCGGAGAACAAATTTGGGTGCCCTTTTGATTTTTAAGCCTCTGAGAATTATGTAGCCTTATTTGCCATTGTTCTTTCTTTAATTTAAAAATGGAAATTCATTAACCTCGAGAAAAGGCAATTACTTCTGATTAATCGCTATCGTTTTCTGACATCAATCGTTTCGAAATAAAAAATCGATCTCTGCAAAAAAAAAAAATAGGTTCGTTGGGTTCGTGTAACAAAGTTAATCACTCGTTTATTCCAAAAATAAATTAGATAGATTTGCTTTCAAGGTCAATTTGATTAAGTGACCTTAATGTTTCAAGTTAAAAATAAATTAATTAAAATGTCCGCATATTGATAACCTTTTAATTCCACAAAACTTGGATCTTCTTGAGAAAAAAATTTCTGAAGAATTATTTTAATTAAAATCAAAATTCGTATTGATAGGTGCAAAACAACAAAAAAAAATTTTTTTTTAATGTAACTGATAAAAGCTAGAAGAAAAAATTTTTTTATTTTAAAGTTTGTACCACGTGTTATTTGTCTATTTAACAGAATCGTAGATCTTCGGAGATAAGATTATCAATATATATATATAAAAAAAAAAAGTATTTCAAACTAATTTAACAACTTCTTTTTTTGTCTCGATCAATTTATCATCATCTATGGATATTCAAGAAGTTCGCAGTCTTATAAAAATTATACCGGATTTCCCACAAAAGGTAAATTAGCGTGTTCTATTTCTTGTAAATTTTTTTTTTTAAAAAAATTAAAACAATCTTTTGAAATAGGGGATCCTTTTTCAAGATATTTTTCCTATTTTTCGGAATCCCAAAGCTGTTGAAACTCTCATCACTCATATTACGGACCATATTGTTTCAAATATAAAGGAAAAGATCGATGTTGTTGTTGGTATAATTCTTTCCTCCTCCCCCCATTTATTTATTTATTTAAAACAAAAAAAAAAAATATGGTTTACGAAATCAAAGGTTGAAAAAAAAAATATTCTAGAATTTAAATTTCTTTTAAAGGGTTGGAGGCACGTGGATTCTTATTTGGACCAATTGTGGCTCTAAGATTGAATGCATCCTTTGCTCCTGTAAGGAAAAGAGGCAAGTTACCCGGAAATACCATCACAGCTGAATATCAAAAGGAATACGGGGTGGTACGCATCTTATGATTTCAATCATTTCCCATTGAAAATGTCTAGTTCACTAAATTGTTTTAATACTTTAACAGGACGTTTTTGAGATGCAAGATGATGCAATCAAACAGAATCAAAATGTTATTATAATAGATGATCTTATAGCAACGGGTTCGTTACTTTAAAACTATTTTATTTAATTCAATCCTTTTAAGTCTTATGACAAGTATTTTATTGTTTATTCAGGAGGTACAGCAAGTGCGGCCGGAGAACTCGTTAAGAAATTTGGCGGTAATATATTGGAATACATTTTTTTAATTGAATTGGTGGAATTAGATGGTTGTCGAAAGTTGAAGTCCCCCGTATATTCTATATTTAAGTCTTGAAATCCGTTCCATTTTGAAATCGTATTCTTTGGATATTTCAAAAAGGAGTAATTAAACAAGATTATCGCATTGTGATAAATGATGCTTGTGATAAATGATGTTACCATAAATGCAATGTAAATGAGCAATCGTACAACAGAATATTTCTAATTATAAATACGAATAAAAATATTTTTATGCATCTTGCATAAGGATTATCTTTCAAACATTCCTTATCTTTGTTAAGTAATAATAATCATACATTTTAAATAAAATGTCAACAAGGGTAACGGCTCGATGGGCATTCAACGTTAATGAGTGGAATCCGTCTGATGAAGTAAATATATCAATTAGTCCATTAATCCTTAGAACATGATGCAACGATTAATCATTTTGTGTAATTTTATCTATAAAAAGCAATATCAACAAGTTTTGTCATTTGTTCAGCCAGAAGAAAAATCTCGGATTAATAGGTTTCATTCTATCGAAGACGCAAAACTTGCATTGATTGGTAGATGTTTAATGAGGTTATTATTTTGTAAAATATATAAATCTAAATGGAAATCAATACAATTCTCTAGAACCAAAGAGAATAAACCGATTTTGGTGGGTGATTTTTTAGAAAAAAACAGTTTAAAAAAAAATAAAGGCATAAAGATTCAATCTCCGTTCCTTTTTTTTTTTTTAAAGGTAAAACCCGATTTTGATCATGTAATCAATTTCAATATATCACATCACGGGGATTGGGTTGTGTTGGTTGCTGGCGAAAGCTCTTTAATCGGTGTCGATTTGATGAAAGTTGAATTACCTTTTAATCAAACTATTGACGAATTCTTTGAAATTCTTAAAGAACAGGTATTTCCAAATTCTGTGGAAAATAAAAAAAAAAAAATTATTGATTTTGATAAACGAATTTTCACGATATAAGTTTTCAGATTATGAATGGAACGTGATAACAAATCCGAATCATACACGATTCCAGCAATTACATCAATTTTATCAGTACTGGTGTCTAAAAGAAAGTTATGTCAAGGCTGTTGGGTTAGGGTTAAATTTGGATTTGAAATCTATCGAATTTCATTTGTCTAATGAAACCCCAAATTTGTCAGGGAATACGCAGGTTTTTATTATTATCCAACTATAATTGATCTTTTAAAAATGTTATTCACATTTTTATTTTTTTTTTTTAACACTAGTTAACAAAATCGAAAACACAATTGTTTATTGAAAATGAATTGCAACCTGAATGGAAATTTGAAGAAACATATCTTGACGAGTTACATTGCGTTAGCATTGCTTATAATGTGATGGAAGAAGGAAAAGACATCAAGCTTCAAAATTTTGAAAAGATTCATATTGAAGAAATAATAAAATTTGCTGAAAAGTTGTAAACCATGAATTTTCACGTGGTCATCTGCATTTTTACACCCCGAAAAATATGATTCGTTGAATCAACCGTTACATGAGGTCACGAGATGAGTCACGAGAGTTTTATTCCCCTTTATTAAGGTAAAAAATTGCCGCCAACTCGCTGCCTCTGTAAACATCTTCTGCTATTCAAAACGTATATATAAAGCACTTTTCCACCAATAAACAACCCTTACCACGATGACTCACTACTATGAACTTTATCGCAGAAGCAGGTTTGTATTACAAACTTTGTAGTAGAAAAGGTTTAATTAAAAGCCTTTCTTTTTTTTATATAAAACAGGTTTTTTTTTTTTGTATTTGTTTGAAGCTTCTACTCGTTTTCTAGTTTTATTTATGGCAAAACAGGCATAAATTCGATTTATTGACAATGATTTTGTTTTAAAGTATCGGTATTGCCTTGACTGATTCTCTTGACGAGTTGATTCAAAAGGAAAAAATTACCCCACAACTGGCGATGAAGGTTCTCGTACAAGTACGTCTTATTTAAATAATTCTTTCAAGTCATTACCTTGAATTAGTTGTAACGATCCTTTTGAAATTTTTTACAAAGTTCGATAAAAGCATAACAGAAGCCCTTGACACTAAAGTTCGCAACAAGGCAACCTTTAAGGTGAGCGAGCACTCTGTTGCAAACTAAATATTTTATATTCTAATTTGTACTAACTTTCCTGACAAAAAAAAAGGCTGGGCATCTTCATACCTACCGATTTTGTGACGAAGTATGGACATTTATCATTAAGAATCCTAATTTCAAATTAGAAAGTGATCAGGTTCTTGTTGATAAAATCAAGATTGTTGCATGTAATTCAAAAAAACCTGGTGAAGCTGAAAACAAAAGCTGAATTTATTCATGTATCATTTGATTTATTTGTAATTGATGATAAAAAAAAAAAAAAATTATATCTCACATAATTATTAAAATATTTCTAATTGATTGCATTTCACAAATTATAATGTATCAATAAAATAAAAGAACAAAATCTAAAATCCTTTATCATGACCACCTTCTTTATAAAAGTTATTTAATATTTCAACAACCTTTTCAAAACTTACCAACCATTCTTCAAATTGTCGATAAACTTTTTCTTGATCTTCCCCTAATTTTTCAAAGAAATCTTTACGATAAGGACAACATGACATCGCCATCTTGATCAAATCCCAAAGAAAGAATTTTTTTAGATAAAGGAAATAAAAAAAAAAAGGAATGAATGAATAAATAAATATAAGAATTGACGGAACATACTTTAAATACGGGTCTGACAAGCATTCCATGAAATTTTTTCAAAGTGTCCTCATAAGCTTTAGTAAAGGAAACCGAAAGTTCTTCAGCCCCATTGGCACTTTTAGAACTTTCTAGAGATCGACGTAACGCTACTGAAGTAAATTCCAATCCTCTGTATTATACAGATCCATGAGAATATTTTGAGCACTTCAAACGAAATTTACAAGGATTAAAGGGTGCTACTACTAACCTCTTTAACCACATTAACCCTTCAGTGGCAATCCGTTTCTTTTCATCTTTTTCGTTAATTACGAGTTTCTCAAGAGTGATATTTTTTTTTGGATCAGTGTTGTAACGGTTTCTAATTTTCTATTAGGGTGATAGTGTTTGGTTAATGTTTTTAAGGTAAAAATTACTTAATCAAATGTTTTAAACGTACCAAAATATTTCCATTCATATCATTTTGCACGACGGTAAATGCTTTAGAATTCAGCAAGTCTATAAAGATTATATTCGAACTTTAAGTATCTTCCAGAACAAAATTTCTTGAATTCTTCAATTATCTATAAAATTTTACCAAATAACTTCACAACTCCTTCGGTAGCTTCAAGAAAAGGCATAGTTTCAATACCTTCACTCGTAATAGGAACATCAGTATAGCTTCTTTGAATGTTATCAAAATAAGTTGCCATTTCTTTTTCTTTTTTCGTTTGATAAATATATTAAAAAAAAAAAAAAAAAAAAAAAAATTATATAATTAAATTATCAGAAGTCCATGTTTCAGAAAGTCTTTATATAATTAATTTTTAATCGTCGTTTTCCAAATTTAGAATTACTGGTCCTACGAAAATTTGGAGCACATCAAAAAGTTGCGTCTAGATTTTGTGGACAATGCATCTTTACTAATTTGCAATCAATGTTGAATTCCGATTGGTTTATGACCTAAGAAAGTCAAACAAAAGTTTTGACATATGTTTCCCTGTCATCATAGATACTTAACGTAAAACTCTCGTTATTTTTGCTAAATAATCACCCTCTTTATTTAATATTTCAATAATCTTTTCAAAAAGCAATCAACCATTCTTTAACTTTTCATTAATTTTCCAATGAACGTCATATTTTTTTATGATTTAGAATAAGGAATGAATATTGGGAGTGTTTCTAGGAAAATCAGGTTCCGAGAAATTTTTCACTTAAATTAAGAGAGCTTAATACATTTTAATCTAATAACATCAAAAACTAAAATGCAATAAAAATCTCAATTTCGCTAAAAAATTCCCGGAACCTGATTTTCCTAGCAATCAACCCATATATTAATTGACAAGATAAACTTTAAAATACGGCATTCCATTCATAAGCTTTATTTACTAAAGATCGACGAAAGCTTAAAAAGGAACCACTAACCTTTCAACCGTGATATCCCTTTAGTGGCAGTAAGTTCCTTTTCTTATTTTTTTTATAGGATAGTGTTATAACGGTTTCTAATTTTCTAAATGGTGAAAGTACCAAAATATTTCGGCGGTAAAATGCTTTAGCTTTACGATTATTATTGTTCATTTAAGGCAATTTCTACAATGATTTTAGAATGATTTCTATTATAATTTCTGTTGTTGTTTAGAATGATTTCTATCATTTCAAATAAATGACTATTTTGTATCAATGATTAAATAAAATAATTTTACATAATTTATTAAAGAATTATTCTAATTAGATTTTTTTTTTTTTGCTTCATTTGAATTAGTTTAAAATTTTTTATTATATGGGAGGGTTTCTAGGAAAATCAGGTTCCGAGAAATTTTTCACTTAAATTAAGAGCTTAATACATTTTAATCTAATAACATCAAAAACTAAAATGCAATAAAAATCTCAATTTTGTTAAAAAATTCCCGGAACCTGATTTTCCTAGCAATCAACCCATATATTTAAAATGATTAGTTAGTATAATCTAAAAGATATTACAACATATTTATTTAAGTTATACTAATTATAAAAGCAGTATTATCTAGTTGAATTTTAATTTACTAAAATCAAGAAAATAATAAAAAATAACTAATAGAATTTTATAATGAATCTAAATAGTTTATCAATTCTGAAAAGAAGGTATTTTATAATACATTTAGATTTTATAATTAATACACATTCTTATTTATATAATCTAATATTATTTCTTAAATGGTTTTATTTATAATTTATAAGTATTTTTATTTATTAATTAAAATCATTTTTAATTACTTTAAATTAATTTATTAAAAAAATTAATATTTAAAAAAAAAAATAATTATCTAATAATTTTTAAAAATAAATAAATAATAAGATTATTATAAAAAAAAAAGTTAAAATTTATATTTTCTATCTATCAATCTTAAAAATATAAAAAATATTACAATCAAAACTTAATATAACAAATTTAATATTTAGATTAATTAGGTCTTTATTATAAGAAAATTCATTAATATTATAATAAATTATTTAATATAATATAATAAATAATTCATCATATAATAATATTATTCAATGCAATAAATCAGATTCTTCACAAATAAGAAACTCCTTCATTAAATATAAATAAGACCATTATATTAATCAGAATAGTCTCTATAATCACATGATTAAAGTTATTAGACAAAATTTAAAGGTTTTGCAAGTTGTCTAAATGGAAAAAGATAAAATTTAGTGAAATTATATTAAAAAATCTGCAAAATTCTGGAAAAGATAAAACTATATCAAAGCTTATAAAAATGCGAAACTATATTAAAACTTTAGTAAAAATTAGTAAAACTATAGTTTAAACGTTTTATCAAATCTAAAATGAATTTAGACAAGTAACCTTACATATGATAATTAATAATTTTTTTATATTTTTATTTTATTTTAATTTTTAATCTGTTTTTTAATACATTACTTTCATTTTTTATTTTTTATTTTTCTTTTTCTAGCCTTTTTATTTATTTTTATACAATCTTTATTTTTTGTTTTTATTTTCATTTTTTATAACTATTAGAAAAAAATATTTTTTTTATATTTTAAATTAGCTTAATATGAATTAAAATCTACAATAAACTAACAGTCTTTCTTTGCTTTTAAAATATTATAAAATATTTTTTTACTAATATTAATTCACTAGCTAAATTCTTATTTATTAAAAATAACAAAGATATTAGACAAATTTCTTATTTTAAACTACAGTAAGGGTTTTTTGTTTTTTAAAGATCTCAGGTAAAATTGAAATTTTTGATATTTAAAAATTATGTAATAGAATTTTATTAGTATTTAGAAAATTACTAAATGATTATACTGAAAATATTTAATTAAAGAATTCACAGATTGATATCTTAATAGGTGTATTATTAAATGCAAAGAAAAAATTAGTTAGTGAAACACTATTTAATAAGAGAATAAGTAGAGATATATTATAACTATCTTTAGCTAGACAATTTGCAACTTCATTATAATAATTACTAGTATAAGTCTTAACTTTATGAAAATAAATTTGAAGGTTAAATATATTCATAATATGTATAATAAAATTCCAAAGAGTATAATTGGAAATTTTTTAAATTTTTAGATAAAAGACAATTATATAAAATATATTTATTATAGCTATAGATTATTGCTTATCTATTAGAATAAATATAAATAATAGCTGATTTAGGTAAAATAATAAAAGCTATAAAAAAAGCAAATATTATAACAAAAGTAAATGAAAATCAGTTTTTTAGTAAAGCTTTAAATAAATAGTAATTATTTGCAACATCAATACAAATTAAACTAAAATCCATTTTATATGAATTAATTCTTAATAAATATAAAGAACTATTAGTATATATAGATAATGAAATGTTATTTATAAGGGTTAATTATATAGTTTTTAATGAGGATGAGTATGATGAGAACTTGATTAATAAATCAATAGTATTTGAAAATATTGAGGTTAATAATTAGTAGATAATATAGAAAGCGTAATAAGTAAAGTAAGTAACTCTATAGATTTTCATAGAAAATATTTTAATTGATTTTTAAAGAATCAAATACAATTTTGAAAAATGTCAACTTAAAAGATTTTATTTCTAAAAATAAAGATGCAAGTATTAAATTAAACATTTGAGATGAAAAATAAAAATTTAATGCATTTAAATAATTGACTAATATTATCATCATTTGTAAAGCAGATAAAATATTAGTAAATAAATAATTAATAATAAAAGATTTGTTTATTATCTGTTCAAAAAAAAGAATATTGATACTTAAATTTTAAATAAGAATATTTTAGTAAAATAATAAAAAAGAAACTAATCTAAAATCTAGTTTGAATAATCTATTAGCAAAGTTTTAATTACTAGATTTTCTAATTTAATAAAAAATTTAGAAGTTCTAAAGCTATAAATACAATGATTAAAATCTCTATATAAAAATTAGCCTTAGTAATAATTTAATAACTTAAAAATGAAGTTAATTGATCTAAATAATCAGATTATGATTAGTTAGTATTTTAATAAGAAAGTTGAAAATATTAAATAAAAATAATTTGAGAGTAAACAGATACCTTTAATAATTTAATTAATAAAATTGAATTAATAAGTAAAAAAGAGACACTAATTAATTTTTATATAATTTCTATAA